GGGCTTCCATTCTGCAACAATCTACCAGCAACTTATTCTAAAAATCAAGCCTTGGTGTTATTTTTAATTTATTTGTGCAACTGTAAAAAACTTTAAAAAAAGCTCCAGTTAATATCAATGCAAGGGTTAATGAGGAAAGAGTGACTAGATGTCGCTCAGAGAACGCTTCAGGTTGAGGCAATAACTATCATTAAGATTCTGCAGAGAGGAATGAGAAAAAAGGCTAAGATAAAAGAAGTTAAACCCAATCATGTAAAACTGGATCTATGAATATCAAAGATCAGTATGATCGCTAGTTTTTTCCAGTAACAAACTAACAGTAAGGAACTGTCTCCAATATCTGATTTCTTGAAAGCTGCGTAAGACAGCTTCACACTCCTCCTGCAAAAAATCTACTGTTTTCATTCCCTGTGAGCAGAAACCAGTTCCTCTTGTATCTGAGCCCAGTGCATGATGGAGCAGGTAGATGAAAATGAGATTAAAAGGTTAAAACATGACTAAAAGTGTTTCTAGGTCACAAACAGCCAATCACGCTAAATCCTCAAACATATTTTCAATTACATCACTGCATAAAATCTACAGGCAGGAGGAAGTTGAGATATAAAAAAAGACATAAAAAATGTCATGATGGTGGCAAATGTGACTCAAACCTTTGAGTAGTTGGACAAGAGCTTAGAAAACAGTGTGACCAACTGAACTTTTTCAAAGTGCGTCACATTTTGATGTAGTAGTAGATCATACACTGCAAATAGACCGCTATTCAGAAATTAGTCACTTCCCTTGGGTATTTTCACAACTTTAGTTATGTTTTATTATAAAAGGAAGGAAAATAACTATTTGCACAATCAGATTTGATCTATCTATGAAACTAATGTTATTACAAGTATTTCTTAAATATAAGAGAAGCGAAAATCAGTATTTTAAAGTCTGTAAACTGCTTCAGCCTTGGAGTAGATGAGGATATCTGAACAAAGACCATTGACCTAATTAACCTGTAGAGATTTTCTAATTAACTTTGTCGCTTTAGCAACACAGTAAAGTGCCATCCATCCATATTCTGTCACACCTATCCCATGCGGGGTTGCAAGGGGTGCCGTCTACGGGCGAGAGGCGGGGTACACCTTGGACAGGTCGCCAGTCCATCACAGGGCAACAGAGACAAAAAGGACAAACAACTATTCACACACTCACACCTAAGGAGAAATTAGAGATGCCAATTAACCTAATTGTCATGTTGTTGGACTGTGGGAGGAAGCTGGAGTACCCGGAGAGAACCCATGCATGCTCATGGAGAACATGCAAACTCCATGTAGAAAGACCCCGGGCTGGGAATCGAACCCGGAACCTTCTTGCTGCAAGCTACCCACTGCCCACTGAGCAGCCCCGTGGGTAAAGTGTTGAGTTAAACAAACAAAATTAAAAGAAAATCCACATTTTTTGTTTGAGAATCAGGCAGTCTTTCACAAAGACCCCTGTTAAAGAAAAAGAAACAATCAAAGAGTTCATACTGTTTATTTCAACAGATAAGGTGTGAAAAATGACAGATTAGAGGTTAGAATTAGACCTTCTTTTGGGGAATTAACATTATCTCATCTTTAACCCTAATGCTTGTGGGTTAAACTATTTTATCTGTTATTCCAGATAATGAAGTTAGCTGACGGCTTAAATTATTATTCAATATCCAAGCAGACATTTTGCTGACATTTGGGACTCAGAGCCTGTGTCAGAGTTAGCACTGGTTTGTTTAGGACACATTTGTGCAGGTATACACTGTACAAAAAACATTTCTAACATAAGTTTGCTTAACATGAGAGTTGCTGTAAAACACCCAATGGCCGCCTGGTAGCACATGATTCAATTTTCTAAAAGAGAACATTAGTAATGGGTGATGCTTCTCACATGCTTCCTTACTTCCTTCTCGATAAATAAATCTCAGTAATTGCATGAACTATTTTTTTCTTCCTTTTTTTCCTCCTGTCTTATTTACACGCTTAGAGAAAAGCTAAACTTAACTCATTGCCAATTTAACCCAGTGAAATACAAAATTGTTTTTGTTTTTTTTTACTGGGAGCGAACTTATCTTCTGTCCTGCTTTGAGATGTTTCTGTACATTGTTAACTTTGTAAAAACACTATTGGTAAACAAAGATCTGAACTAAGGGTTTCTCTTCCGTTCTCTTTACTCTATTCAAACAGTACAATGGATTCAAGAGTCGTTTAATAAGTAAATAGACTGTGAAAAATCTCCAATCCTGGTTAAGTTTTAAAGTTTCGCAACAAGCAATGAATTTTGGGGTTGCATCAAAGCTTAACAACAAAATACACGAATGCCTGTCTCTAATAAACCTTCCTTTAAAAAACACTACTGGTAGTACAAGCAGCTCTTATGCACCCATATCCGCTTTTGATCATATCAAATAATTAAACCTAGCCAAATACTGCAAGTGGTTTCAAAGAAAGAGTAATTAGAACCTTGCTGTTATTAGTAATATACTAAAGATTTCTGCAAACTGGGATTTAATAAGAAAAAAAAGTGCAAAACTTTTTACCCAAGTTTAGGATCCATAATGATTTCCACTCCACTATTCAACCAAAAACATCCCTTTGTTTATTTAGATGTTTGCATGCATAGTCTATTGCTAATAAAAACAACAGTATTTTCAGAACTTTCTGTTTTCTAAATGAAGCACAATGTTATGCTGGACGGGAGTTAAATAAGTTGGAGCGACTGTGACAGGACGCAACATTTCCCTCTGTAATTCCCAATTTAGAAGCATAGACAAAAGTAAAAAAAAGAAGAGAAAAAAAAAAAAACTTTCCGTGGAATATTTGACTGTTATTCCTTGTGGATGGCAATAACAGCGATCAGCAAATCTTGCCTCAGACCGCATGCTGGTTCAGTATTTGCTTGTAAAACGAGCCAAACCCTCAGAGCAGAATTCAGACATGAAGATTCAGCACAGCTATCTTTATAGGCACAGTCCTGCAAACAACCTTAACTTGGAGCTAGAAGAGCGTAAATATATATCATAGGATCAGGGTGAGGTGACGCAGCTCTAACAGGGAGCGGCTCTGATTCTGAGCATACATTAACTGAAGCTTTAAACTTGGAAGATCGCTTGCTTTACAACTCAGTGGCATTTTTATATATGAGTTACTATAATGGGACATAATGTTCTTAAGTTACAGAGCGTGGAAACAACTGGGATGTGAAAAGAGTTTTATGGAGTGTAATTTTTAGAGATCAACCTGTGCAGCTTGTGCGGTTCTCAGCGGTGTTGCTTGATTAGGAAGAAAATACACAATTTTTCCCCCTGCTGACAGACTCCAACATTTTTCATTCAATGCACATTAACAGATTTTCCAGTTCTGTTTGGCTGCTGACTGCATGACAAGCTGCTCTCATTTGTTTAGGTGCAAAAAATAAAGGAGTCAGGGATGTTGAAGTTTTTGCTCCTGAACTGTTTCCAGTGGCTTTATGATTAACTGCAAAGCAATATCTTTCAAACATGAAAGAAATAAGTCAGTAGAAATATAAACATGCAAGATATTCAAGGAATTGCATCTACATTGAGATCCAGCAGTGAGGCGCGCAGGAAAGTCTGAATGAGAGATGGTACAAAAGGGTAACAAAGAGGGCAAAGCGAAACAGAGAGCGCTCTCTGAGAAGCCCACAGAGCCATGAGAGACGAGGCTCCATCCCTCCCACGCTTTAATGACAATCTGAAGCCAGCTGGCCGGGAAAAAAAAAAGAAAAGGAAAAAAAAAGTCCATTCAGAAGTCTACTTGGAAGTTAAGAGTGAAAGGGGACAAGACTTTTAAAGAAAAGGCAAGAAAACCATCTACTCCTTAAATATGGGACACCTTTCCACAGCTAGACTTACTTCTGACCCCCCAAAAAACAACATTAAAAACACTAGTAAAATAGAAGAGAATTAAATTGAGGTTTGTTGAGTAAACCTGCTGTAAGTTAATCCAAAGGGAAAATTACATCAGAACTATAAAGCAGATTTTTTAAACTGCAGAAAGCTTCAACTTTAAAACCAGACACCTTAATCGTTTATACAAAGAACCCATCTCCTTCCGGGACTAAAGCCGGATGTTTAAAATGACGTTTACATTAACCTGATAGTCAGTTTCATCATTCTCAAGGGTTACAGGCATTTCTTCCAAGACTCAACTCTCAGCTTTTCTTTAAATGGCTTTAAACAAGAAACAGTAAATTTCACGAGGAATGGATGGCAGATACTCCTGAAGCGGAAAGGCTTTAAATACAGAAGCAACAAAGAGAGGAACAAGAAGGGTAAAAAGGAAGACAATAAAAAGGGAACAAGGGAGAAAAAATGCAATGAAGGATTTAAATGATTGACGAGCTTGAATATGCAAAATATATGGAAGGACAAGATTGAAAAATAGGACCTCAGGGATTTTTTTTTTGTCCAATTGTACTGTATTTCAACTAAAGAAAAAAACTATTATACTACCACTTAAATATAAACATAACAATGACTGCAATACAGGCTCTATCCCATAAATAAACATTATGACTGGTGAGAATTATACAACAACCAAAGAATTAAGATTTAGCACAGCCTCGGATGTAGGTCACAAAAGCTGAGGTGGAAAGGGAAAATAATTAAGTCAGGGTCCTGCCTAAGGTTATTTCCACCGTTATTTTCCTCATTGTAACCCAGCTCCTCCACCAGGAAAATATCTGTCAGCCTGCTGAGGACGGTGGGGGGGTGTCACAATAACGACTCACTTTCATTGGAATCTGATAATAGCTGAAGAGCGGTTGGAGCAACCGCGAGAAAGTGGCGAGGCTGGGTGGAGTTTCATCTCTGAGGGTGTGAAAAGAGGCTGAGCGGGGAGGGATTGTCTTTGTCCCTCCCTCTACTGGATCTTTTATTTTATCCTTTTCCCCATTGCTACACATTGAAGCCACCAGGGTGAGGAGTTAGTGAAGAACTATGAGCCTGAGTTGTTTCTAGAGAGACCTACCACAATGTGATGAAAGAGAAGCTCCCAGGACTGACTCAGCTTCTGGTTGCACACCATGTCGAGGAAGTCATAGATGAAATATCCTGTTAGGAGAGAGAGAGTTCAGCCAAGGTTAATGCCATCTTTTGGGTCAAGCGAGCACTTTGTTAAATAACCAAAGAGTAAACAGATTTTTTTGGACACAGGCAGCCTGGAGCTAATCGAGTGCAGGGGGGGGTTCATGTCGGCAACGATGGCAACCAGGAGGCTTCTTAGAGAGAGGCTATTCATATCCACCACCCGCTTCTCACCACCAACTGTATCCATGGATACAGCTTTAAACGAATGACGGAAAAACAATGAGGATTTGGTGTTTTTTTGTTTGTTTTTTTTTCCCTGGGGGGGGATGCACAGACCTATTGAGGAACTTGAGGTTGTGGTTATAGGGAGACACTGACACTTTAAGGTTAATGTGAAAGAAAAGATAGAAAACCCTGACGCCACAGAGACTAAATAAATTCCAACCACTTATTGATTTCACTAAAAAAAGAAAGGTAAGGTTTTGATGATGGGCAGGTTTCTAGGCTTGTCATCGTTTTACAAATGAAAGCTTTTAACACCACCAACATGTCCCGTTGGTTTAAACTTCTTCTCATGTGATGCAGGATGATTATATACACTATATTGCCAAAAGTATTTGCTCACCTGCCTTGACTCACATATGAGCTTAAGTGACATCCCGTTCCTAATCCATAGGGTTCAATATGACGTCGGTCCACCCTTTGCAGCTAGAACAGCTTCAACTCTTCTGGGAAGGCTGTCCACAAGGTTTAGGAGTGTGTTTATGGGAATTTTTGACCATTCTTCCAGAAGCGCATTTGTGAGGTCGCACACTGATGTTGGACGAGAAGGCCTGGCTCTCAGTCTCCGCTCTAATTCATCCCAAAGGTGTTCTATCGGGTTGAGGTCAGGACTCTGTGCAGGCCAGTCAAGTTCATCCACACCAGACTCTGTCATCCATGTCTTTATGGACCTTGCTTTGTGCACTGGTGCACAGTCATGTTGGAAGAGGAAGGGGCCAGCTCCAAACTGTTCCCACAAAGTTGGGAGCATGGAATTGTCCAAAATGTCTTGGTATGCTGAAGCATTCAGAGTTCCTTTCACTGGAACTAAGGGGCCAAGCCCAGCTCCTGAAAAACAACCCCACACCATAATCCCCCCTCCACCAAACTTTACACTTGGCACAATGCAGTCAGACAAGTACCGTTCTCCTGGCAACCGCCAAACCCAGACCCGTCCATCAGATTGCCAGATGGAGAAGCGCGATTCGTCACTCCAGAGAACGCGTCTCCACTGCTCTAGAGTCCAGTGGCGGCGTGCTTTACACCACCGCATCCGACGCTTTGCATTGCACTTGGTGATGTATGGCTTGGATGCAGCTGCTCGACCATGGAAACCCATTCCATGAAGCTCTCTGCGCACTGTTCTTGAGCTAATCTGAAGGCCACATGAAGTTTGGAGGTCTGTAGTGATTGACTCTGCAGAAAGTTGGCGACCTCTTCGCACTATGCGCGTCAGCATCCGCTGACCCCGCTCCGTCAGTTTACGTGGCCTACCACTTCGTGGCTGAGTTGCTGTCGTTCCCAAACACTTCCATTTTCTTATCATACAGCTGACAGTTGACTGTGGAATATTTAGGAGCGAGGAAATTTCACGACTGGATTTGTTGCACAGGTGGCATCCTATCACAGTTCCACGCTGGAATTCACTGAGCTCCTGAGAGCGACCCATTCTTTCACAAATGTTTGTAAAAACAGTCTGCATGCCTAGGTGCTTGAATTTATACACCTGTGGCCATGGAAGTGATTGGAACACCTGATTCCAATAATTTGGATGGGTGAGCAAATACTTTTGGCAATATAGTGTAGGTCCTGTAGGTAAAGCAACACACCCTGCCACCCGCTGCTGCCGGTCTGTTGTCCATGAGCGCTGAACGTGGTAAAACAGTTTTAGTCTAAGTAGAAAAGCTATATCCCCGGCTGTTTGAAGCCTGCAGGCCAGCAGCTCAGGACAAGTGAACTGCATACAGGCTCAACAGCATCAAGCCAGGCAAGGTTTCCCCTCACCTTAGGATGCTGGATGCTTGAAATGGGAAGTAAATTTGACCACATCAATTCCAATCTGATTAATTTAACTATCCTACACCTTTCAAAGATCTATATACACCATTAAAATCTTATCCCCAGGTGGATGTCTAGTCCAGTGTTTCCCAACCTTTATTGACTCATGTACCACTTTGGGCATTTTGTCTTTCCATTAGTACCCCTCTCAGTATAAAGAATTGATGATTGTCCAAAACAATACAATAATTGATTATAAAATAAAGACTATTTTACTTAATCTTTTAATTTAACTATTTCATTTTTATAATTTTATGTTTTCCGTGTCAAAAAAACAACAACGTAAGTATGTTGCCTGGAATTAAGTAAGAAATAGAAATATATACAAAATAAGATGATATCATAAACCTGTATTTGTAAAACTGGAGCTCGTCTGAGTGCCTCCCTTATAATCACATTAAAACTTGATAAATTTGGAACAAAATACAGAACAAAAATTATAGTCAGACTGACTTAATTAGATTTACTTTGTTTTTATCAAGACACCCGAGCTGCTTTAAAGAGTAGTATGAAAAACAGCAGATACCAGGCTTTTCTCTATATCCAGTCTGCTCCTCTGTTTTGATTTTTATGTTTGTCAAAGCTGAAGGTGAACTCGAGCATATAAGAAAAACATACTTTTTGACTGATAAATGATTGTTTGATTTTTAAATTTGGCCAGCACAAAGCAAAACAGATCCCAGCCCTATTTTATTTTACTACCAAAGAAAAAATATATTTTCATGTACCCCTTACAATGCACTGGTGGACCATTAGGGGTATGGTAACCCCAGTTGGGAAGCACTGGTCTAGTCAACTCGGATGAAAACAGAAACTGTAAATTAACAAGGGAATGATATAATGGAAAAACAGAGACAGTTCCAGGACTACATTACTGATCCTGCTACAACTCACTATAGTAAATAGCGCAAAAAAAATGAAAACAGGACTTTATGATCTACAATATCTCCTACTCTGCCACATGAAGGTGAGAAACCATGACAACACCTCAAGCTAGCTTTTTTTTCTCCTAATGTTGAATAATGAGCTTTGCCAAATAAATCAATCAAAGCCGGCGGGTGTGACCACCTACGAGTGGGACATTGCTTTTTGAGGCGGACATTTCTCTTCCTGCAAACTGACACTGTTGCCAAATGATGGTCTAAATCGTAACAGGGAACGTCAGGTAGGCTACAGCTAAGCTGTTGTTAAAGGGATAAATGCAGCACCTTATTTTTATATTGATGAGAACAGAATTTTCCATGGAGGACAACATATTTACACAAACACCAGGTGCACATTATCAGGGCTTTCCCTCCTTAAACAGGTTAGTCAAAACCACAAGGCATCAAGCAGTTAAATGACTTTAATGATGACTATTGAGATGACTAAGAAATCCAATTAGGACTTCTGCTTCTCATCAACTCTCTCAATATTGTTACTATAACTTAACATATTAACACAATGCCTCCATTAGATTTGTCTTATTGGATTAAAGCTAATCCATCATGAGATTCTTCTGGTATCAATGTTATAAGTTCTCCATGTTGGAGTTCGTTACTTTGGTTTATTTTGCTCTCAACACACACAAAAAAACAATTGCAGGGAAAAATCAGGCCTCGATTCAGCATATGAAAGTGACTATTCTCACTAACTTTAACGACAGATGGTTTAAATTCAACAGCAAAAAAAATCTTATCTTCTTGGAAAAATACTGATGAGAAAAGGTTTACTGATGGAAAAAAAATGCAAGTAGCCTCGAAAAAATAGGGAAGGAGGCCATTGACCTGAAACATGAACGCTCAAGAGAATCTGATCAGTGATAGGCTGGATGGAAAACCAGCGTGTTCAAAACCAGCGACTTTTAGACTGGTTTTGAGGGCAATTATAGCTTTATAGCTATATAGCATTATCCCTATAATGTGATCAGAAATGTATCCAGAAAAGAGTTTAAAAAGGGTTTTGTTGTTAATTTTAGAGGATGAGCTATAAAAGGCTCACCTACTAAACTAGCTCCACCCGCCAGTAGCCAAATTCATTTTTGCCTGCGAGTTTGGTCTAGCCTCGATCATTGCCCCAGGCCCTAGAACTGGCGGGCCAATCAGAACGCAGAGATGCGTTTTGAATTTCTGGATCCAAAGCGGGTGGGGTTTTGAGGGCGTGACGACAAAGCTGCACCACGCTGGAGAAAGCACAACAAGGAAGAAGACAGCAACTATTGAACAGTTTGACTCATTTGACTCACTTTTGGAAGGATTAGACTTGGGCTTTTCGTTGAAACGTGAGCAGGAAGAGGCTCTACGCTCATTCATTTTTAAGGAGGACGTTTTCGCTGTCTTACTGACAGGCTGCTGTGCCCACTATTGTTAAATGTGGAAGTTTGGTCCCCCTGAAGGCGGCTGCGCCTCGGAACTTCCCCTCCGGTTCTTTTCCTGGGAGAAGTTATTTACTACTCTTAACTCAAACTGGGTAAAACCATATAAAAAAGGACTATAAAACAGGAGTAAAAAAGTAACAGATAATTCCAGGTCAGGTCGTTACAGGACAGAGAATTTGGGCTGTGGCTCAAAAAATGCCTGCGAGCGTTCGGCAAAGATTGAGCCCCGAACAAGGACATCTCTTCCTTCTTATACCTTATCAGGTGGATGCTTAGCTGTCCGTATCAGAAACTGACACGCCATCCATGCCCTGACCTTCATGCATCTTGCCTCTATGCCCCAGGATTACACATAGCTCTTTTCTATCAGTCTGGCTCCAAGATGTGACCATATCCTGTGTATTTTTAAAGACACGAAGGCTGTCCTGATTTGATGACCTCAGTACACACAGTGACATCCACCATGTGAAGGAAGGCCTTCTACTCTATCTAATCTGGCTAACAGAGTAACAATACACAATGTCATGTTTGATAAATAATAAACCTAACACTACGTCACAGTCAGTTG